AACCCTGTTCACATCAGAATTTCTTATCAAGGAAAGGGATGGTTTCTAACAAAATCGGCCGAAAGAGCTACAAGATACCTACAAAACAAAGCTACAAAGATAGATAGATAGATAGATAGATAGATAGATAGATGCTTTATTGTCTTCGGATCATAGAAATGATATAAGACTCGTCAGGCATATCTCTATGAGTACATTATTATCTACAAAAATTAAAAATATAGTTAAGTATAAATACATAAATTTGTCGGTTAAAAATGGAAAGAAAAGAATGTAAAGGAGGCAGACATTGAACAAACTTCTTCAGGACATGCATTATTGGACGTAGTCCAAGGGATATGAAAGAGAACTTATCGCTGGAGGTTAAAATCGCATTAGAAAATGGACGGGTAGTACCCAAACCAACACAACTAAACGTAAGGTACAAAATAAGAGCGCACTACTCCTTAAATTGGTGTTTGGTGCGTTAATATCCCAAAATCTGGAAGTTAACAAAAAAAATGCCCACACCACAATCTCCGCAGGAAAGTAAATGACGCAGAACACCCCTAAAAGAAGCTTAAACGGGTGGCCCTGGAGACGGCACATTCGACAGAAAATCAAAAGGAACGGAGAATAGCCGGTAAAGAATGTATCTTGATAGTAAATCAAATTTTAACAGAAGGTAACTTGATAGGAAAGTAAACATTCATATACGGCTAGTACGTCTAGAAATCACGAGGTGGCGCGCTGGTCGCCAACTCTGTCTACGAGGGACCAACAAAATTTTATGAGGAATTTTCTAAGATAGTCATTAATAATAAAGATTTCCACACAATACCGTGTGAAAATATGAAATCAATAAACTATGAAATTCGCAAAAAGAAAATCAGCGAAAAGGGTTTGGCCTAGGAATGGGCACTCTACTATTAATGAAGAGAAATTCAAATTAATGATAAGTGATCAAAATAGTAAAAAAAAGTTACGTGATTTTGGCACGTGAAAATCGTTTTTTCAAAAGTGCAAGGTTTCCGCTCTTCAGGTCTAAACGCAGGTGGTGGAGAGTCGTGGAATAACATTACTTTTAGTCAGGGAAACCTCGTTTCTAGACAGTTCGCTGTCGCTAAGCCGTATCCAAATGCCATACCAGCATTTATGTATGGCCTAATCATAGCTTTCGGTTAAGCTACATCACTTTTTTCTGACTATACAAAAATATGAATGTCTGTTCAGGACCACAATATGGAGGGACGTAAACATTTCTACACTTAATTTTTGAAAATCGAGTAAGGCTACAGGCATAGTTTTATCCGTGAAAATGTACAGGGCGTTCAAGAAATGTGGATAGATCAAAATATCCCGATGAAGACGTTTCCTAGAAAAAAGTCTAATGACAGATCTGAGAAAATTGAGCTTAACTCTTGAAGGAACGCTGTATGAAAATATCGCAACGACAACCTTCCATCAAGCTACAATTTTTTTATTATATAAAAATGTGAATGATTGTTCAGTCAGCAACAGGTTTGAATTACAATAGTGAAAGATTTTGTATACTTACTTTTTGAACCTCCAGTTTAAGGCTAAAAAGCGTTCAAGAAGTGTGGATAGATCAAAATATCTCGAAAAAATGTTGTAGAAGAAAGTTGTAACGTTCAAAAAGATTCATCAATTGGTGATCTAGAACGTGACCTTGGCTATGACCTTCAAGGTCATTTGAAGGTCAAGACAGTTTCCTCAAATGAAACCCCTATTTTTGACACAGGAAATGTAAATAGCAAGAAATTTTACTTTAATGGATATTTAAGGGCATCTAGAATGTAGGGAGTGGATAAAATGTCTCGAAAAATAAGTTTCTTTAAGGAAAAAGTTGGTAGTAGAGTTGTAAAACGTAAAAAGTAAAACAGTGAAATTAATTTCTAGATGCATTGAAATTTCGAATAAAAAGGTTCATTGCCAAATAACTATTGCATTACTTTGAATATTGCGATTCTTTGTCCGAAACCGATCTTCGTCACACAAAACCATATTTATTAGACCGTATAAATCAAAAACAGTTTTTCAAACATTTTTCAATCCCTGACCGCCACAGAATCTGGAGCTTTTCGATAGGCCAAAGAACAATATTTCAGTAACTTAAATCCATATTTTTATCCATGTCAGAATTTTTGTTAGGTCGAAAGTGTTTATTGGGATGATGGCCATAGGCAATGATTTGGATAGTGCTGAGGACTGAAAAACTGTCTCTAAATCAAATGGTTTAGCTGAGGATTGGGGAAAATTTGATAGGATAGAAATATCTATAAGAAGGCTAAGATTTTCATAGAATAGTCTGGACTAAATTGGAACCAGAGAATCAACTAAATCCTTAGAACAAATCCCCCAAGTCACTGGGTTGAATTGGAATTGTTAGCCGATAGCACTTTTTGTTTGAAGTACATTTGTGGCACCTATGCAATAGATGTATGCAAAATTACTAAAACCTATATACATATTTATGTTTACAGTCTCTGCAGTGGAGGAATGTTTATTTAAAACGACCGTTGGTCAGTAACACAATTAATTATATGTTGCAAAATTAATTTAATTTAATAACATCCATGCTGGCGGATTTTTAATAATTCACGGCGCAATTGGAATATTTGCTGTTATCGCATTACGTTTTATAGGTAGTTATAACATACGATCGGTTGCGTCATTGAGCCCTCGATGGCTGTTCGGTACCGATAATTTATCGCACGCGGCCGTGGAATTGTCCAAATTGACATTGTTTTTCGATAAAAAATAATTCCTGTTGGCATTTGGTTCATTGCTACACGAAAAAGGAGTGGCGACATGTATTTTACATTTATATACAGTGCTGGCCAAAGTCAGCTTTTGGACTCCCATGTGAACGAGAGAGAGAGAAGCGTGGCACAAAATATTCATCGGATTTTTTGAATGATTGAAACAGTATCGTAAATTACAAATCAATACTTAACTAAACTATACTAACGAATTATGTGGTTTTTCGTAAATTCGCCGTCTTAATTGTACTTCATTTTAGGCTTTAGGCTCTATTGGGCGAGCCTGCGGCAAGTTTGGAGGATTATAGTTTGTTTTTGGGAACATCATATATGTTGTTGTCGAAGCCAGTTTTGGGTATCTCTTGAGTAATGGCATGCTGCTAGGTCTGACCAAAACATGATATGGTGGTGTATGTATGATGTTTGTAGAGAAAGTGAAGCAATTTGGAAAGGCAGTTATCAATATATGGTAGCTCTCTCTGACTATTCAAAGCTTCACCCCTCAATCTTCTCACAAAAGGTTGGGATACACCCCTGTTAGAAATTCCGCACCAGACAAGGATTTTCGTATTTTCCCTTCATTTGAGAATTACTCAAAGTGAAATACTTTTCGTCATCTAAAATAATGATTTTTTCATTGGTAAAGTGTAACCGCCTCAGTTGACAACAGCATCTTGGTATACGAAGGAGTTTCGCTTGAGAGTATTTGGGCCACTTAAGTCACTTTCAGTATTTAAGATCTTTCCTCCTCATTTAATAATCTTCTAGATTTATTAGGCTTAGATCAAATAATCAAAGAACCGACAAGATTATCATTATGCAGTCAAACCTTAATTGATCTAATCTGTACATCAAATGTCAATGCTGCCATATCTTCTGAAGTCACTTCTGTTTGTGCGATTAGTGATCATGAACTAGTATCTTGCACCTTGAACATAAAGAAACCTGATACGCCTATGCTTCACATATATCGAAATTATCGTAATCTAGAAATAAATTCCATTACATCATGAATTAAAGTGTATTCCTTGGCGTGTTTTGTATGATTTCGATAACATTGATCAAAAAATAGAGTTTTTCAATTGTGCAATGCTGGCTCTACAAGATCGACATGCACCTATCATAACAAGAACCTTTTCCAAACCGCATAAATCTTGGATGACAGAAGATATAAAATTCCTTATCTCTCTGCGAGACTCAGCTCGTAAAAACTACAAAAAACAAAAACGGTGGGAGCATTTGAATACTATAAGCAGATCAAAAATTATACTGTAAGTGCAATAAGGCATGAGAAGAAGGCGTTCATGGAACAAAAAATTCGTGACAAAGGAAGTAATGTTTGGAAGAATTTGAGGCATCTGAATTTGCGTACAAAAAAGGAAAGTGTTGTTATTCCGGATTCTTTATGTAATGTTGATAAAATAAATGAGTACTAGATTAAATCGGTTCCAAATAATGAGGATACTAATGACTATTCGCAAATCATTGACGACTACGAAAATAAAGCTAAAAATCAAAATAATAATTTTGATTTTCGTGAAGTTGATGAAATAACTGTTCTCAAACATATGTCTTCGATTGCGTCGAACTCAGTAGGCTTCGATGGTATCGAAATAAAATTTCTGAAACTATGTTGCCCGTTTCTACTGCCTTATTTGACGCATATAGTGAACTACTGCTTACGACATTCAGTGTATCCTATGGATTGGAAAACTCCAAAAATACAGCCAATACCTAAAAAAAAAAAACACCCTCAGACATTCAAAGACCTCCGCCCTATAAGTATACTATCAGCACCTTCTAAAATATTAGAAAAGAATATGAATGAGCAGCTAAGAACGTTTTTTCATTCCCATGCAATACTTCCAGATAAACAAGCATGATTTCGAGCAGGTATAGCTGTTGTACTGTACTATTAAACGTAACTGACAAGATATTTTAGGCAACTGATGACTGTAAGATAACCATCCTAGTACTCCTGGACTATTCAAGGCCTTCGACACAATCAACCATCAAATACTGATATCAATCTTACACTCTGTGGGGGTCAGTAATCATGCATCATTACTACTGTCAAATTACCTAAACAATCGAAAGCAGAAGGTGGTGTTAAATGGGAATGTGTCGGATGCTCTGGGAGTAGTTGCAGGTGTGCCCCAGGGATCAATACTGGGTCCTTTGCTCTATATTGTCTATACATAAAAATTTCCAAAATCTGTCAAATACTCAGAACTACAGTTATATGCGGATGGTACGCAACTTCTTTATTCGTTTCGCCCAGATGAAGTAGATGAAGGTTGTCATCGAATATGTTCTGATCTCAAAAGTATCTCCGACATCTCCTTGTACCTCAATCCTGATAAGTCAAATTTTATTATGTTTGGTCCCAAAAAAACGAGGAATCTTCTTACGAACAGAATAAATATTATCAATGGCGTTACAATAAATAGGCAAACTGAAGTAAAAAAATTAGGTGTACTTCTTGATGAGGACCTGCGTTTTAAAAATCACATAACAAACTGTTTCAGCAACCTGAAAAGTATCTATGGCTATAGAGATTTGTTGAATATGAATACCAAAATTTTATTAACTAATGTTCTTGTGCTATCACATTTTAACTTCTGTGAAAAAGAATACAAAAGGTTCAAAACTCGTGTTTACGACTCATCCATGGAATTCGACGTAGAGAAGGCATTTCACATAAGTTAGTAGAAACAAGCTGGTTAAATATGAAAGATAGACGAGAGCTGCATAGCGTATGTTTTTATCATAAGGCTGTAACTATGAAAACTCCTTCGAGTTTATATAATAAAATAACCCTTCGCCAAGATACACACAATGTAAACATAAGGTCTAAAACCACGATCACACTACCAGCTCATCATACTGCTCTATTTGAAAGATCTTTTTCTTATAACATTTCCAAAATATATAAAGCTGTCCCTCAATACTTGAAATCCAAATCGCTATATAATTTTTCAAAATGCTACTTCCATTTTCTGAGATCTCGCTATAATAATTAATAATATCGAATATCTAAATGTTTTTCGTTTCTATGCACATACCTATATTACATATACAGGATGACTTTGAAGTTGAGTCATTAATTTTCAGATAATGATTGTAGATACCTCAATCCTGATAAGTCAAATTTTATTATGTTTGGTCCCAAAAAAATGAGGAATCTTCTTACGAACAGAATAAATATTATCAATGGCGTTACAATAAATAGGCAAACTGAAGTAAAAAATTTAGGTGTACTTCTTGATGAGGACCTGCGTTTTAAAAATCACATAACAAACTGTTTCAGCAACCTGAAAAGTATCTATGGCTATAGAGATTTGTTGAATATGAATACCAAAATTTTATTAACTCCGTGATGCCGCATAAATAAGAATCATGTCCACAAGTTCAGCATTTTCGTAAACATGTGCCATTTTTGATTTCGTTTGAGCCACGCAACAGACACCACTATTCACTCACGCGTTACCGACTGACACTGACTGTATACAACTGAATAAAATAATTGTAAAAACATCGTTTCAAATTCTTTCGCTTTTTTGTTTCCGATGCGATGAACCGATAAGGCGGATTATATCCGTTGTTGCCAAACACGAGCACATAATATTATTATTGAGACAGGGCGGTACTCAAACTTCCAAAGGGCTATAACTTTGTTATTTTAATTTTACCAGAAAAATGGTAAAGGAAAAAACATTTCTTTTGATCAGATCTACTCACTGTTAAAATAAATGACTCAACTTCGAAGTCACCCTGTATATGATTATACCTACCTTACATTGAATGCTTTTCCCTGATTTCTTTATGTCCTTCTTTGTATTCTGTGATTTTTTCATTTCTTCTATATATATTAGTTAATCATCCTTTCAAAAAGGCTATTGTTTGAATATTACAACGGTAACATATACTACTCGTATATCTTTACTTTTAAGCTTTTAAGTTGGTTAAGTAGGTCTTGTTAGGTTAAGTGGAAGACCAGCCATTCCTCTATAGGAATGAAAGCTGAACTTCGCCTTTTCCAAGTATCACTTCCATATCTCTGTACCTTGGTACCAAAGAATAAAGATGATTATTATTATTATTATTATGATTATTATTATTATTATTATTTCCAACGATACCGTATTCTTAGACGATCTGTATTGACGGACCAGTCTCCTTGCTGACATTCCAACATGATTTTTTGCTCTTCTCACCAATCTATCTGACCTCTGGGCAGTAAATGCACGTGGTATTCTACTTTTTCTGAGATTCAGATATGATATTCCCTGTTCGCACTCCGCTATTGTTCTATAAATGGTTCTGTGTGAAATGTTTTCATTCTGGAGTATTCGACAGATTTCAGCTTTGGATACCCGCCCAATCATCTTGAAGATACTCTTTCTTATTTCTAATTTGTACGATATCGAAAGTTTCAAAATAAATAAATGTCAAATGACAATAAAGTAAGTAAATAAACTTTTGTTTCCAACGGCAACTTGATATTATTCTGTGTTTGTTGAAATTAAAGCCAATGAATTTTGTGCTAAAACTTTAGGACATATGTTACCGTGCAGCACGCGCCTTATAGGCATCGTCACCACGTAGCTTCGCAACCTCTCCCACATTCGTTGCTAGGCATCGTGGTGACGACGCTTATATGACTCACTCTTTCTAACACGCTTCTCTCGCGTCCCTCTCTCTCTCTCCTACACATGGAAATTTAAAAGAAAAAACGACTTTAGTCAACTCTGTATAGTGCATATTCTTCCAACTGGAAACTAGACAATGCAGCGTGAAGGGATATTATGTCATCAAAGATCAGTATAACGTCAACTTGTGTACTAAATAGTCGCCTTGCTTACTTGCATGAGCGCCAGCTGTGGAAAATGACACAACGACCATGTTGCCTAAGATGCTGCAACTCACATTTCGGCTGCACGCTTTGTGGCTTGAAAGCTGCCGAGACAGTCTATTGTGAACAAGATGTGATGGAGAAAATATAGTCGAGTATTAAGATCATATCTACTCAAGAACATACTCCTATGGGATGATACGTCGGGCTGCCTTTAATGGCCAGCGTAAGGGAAACCCCACTGAGTTGCATCACCACCACCTTCCTCAACAGTCTGGGGCGGCTGAAGGGGCCCAGTGGGGCCTAAGTGTTGTGATTTTGTAGGATCGCCCTTCCTCCTATACAGAACAGAAGATCGCATCTAACTGTTTGCGTGCACTGGTATGCATGTTTATAAACAGCCGATGTTTCTGGCTGCCCAATATACCTCAGCCAATTTCTCATCTGCTAGTTGTAATATCTTTCACCAACGAAGGATTTTATTTTCACATGTCCAGCAAATTGGCATATGTGATATCCAGGATGAATAATTCGATGCGCAACTAATTTCTAGTTTTGAATTAAGCGTATTTGAGACAAGAAGCCAACCGAATCGTCATCAACACAGATTATTAGTATACTAATCATCACTGTGCACAGCAATGTTTCTTTTCAGCTCTAGTAAAAAAACTTACATCTTAGGTCAATGCAGTTATACGTGGTTTTTTCTTAGACCTTTCTCGTGCTCTTGATTATGCGTATCACGAACTGTTGCTGTTTAAACTGTATAGGTATGAAATTCGTGGCCAGCACTACACTTCAGTCATATCTTCATACTCGAAAGTAATATGTCTCTGTTAATCGGATAAACAGCGAGACGAATATTTAGAATATGGGTGTTTCACAAGGACCTGTCGTTGGGCTATTTCTGTTTTTATTGTATGCTAACTAGTGTATATTCTGAGTGTAAAGTGGATGACTCTAGTATATTGCTAACTGGTTTGAGTAATTTTGCCCTTACCACGAAAATAGAAATAATTTATAACTATGCACAAACATGGTCTGAAAAGAAAGGGCTCATACTGAATATAGAAAAGACACGAGTCATAAAGTTTTCGTTAAGAGATAATCCTGAATTCAGTGTTCGCCTAAATTATTGCAATTCAATCTTCTCTATCCTTAGAATGATGGGTATTTAAGGGAGTCACATGTGTTATTACTATGAGACAATTACGGAGAAGTTGTTATGGAATTAGATTTTTGTCAAAACATAGCAGTAAGCATATAGTACAAATACTAACTCTTTACCACCCACTTTAATTGTTACTTGCGTAATGGCTTTTTACTACAGAAATATGTGACTAGGAGTATTGAAAATCTACATTGGCGTCAGTCGTGCTGAAGTTATTTTAAATCTCTAGATATTTTAGCAATAGCCTAGTTTCGCTAGCACGAGTGGCAAGCTTCTTCCATTTCGGATGCTGGATGTAGACTGTCTACATCCAGCATCCGAAATAGAAGGATCTCTGAAGAAGCTTGCCACTCGTGCTAGCGAAACGTTAGGAAGAAATTCCAATCGACTACGGCCTTTATACCCGAATCAAGACAGACGTTTATCAACTGACCGCGAAAGCCTTAACCAATTTGCCAATAGCCTAGTATTTACACATACTAGTTGGCAATTTTTGTGTATTAAAAAAAAATAACATATTTAAAACCAAAAGATAAGCAAAATTACGCGACTAGAGCTAAATATTTGCTATTGCCCTCTAAACATTGCACAAGTACTTATAATTATTATAGTTATATGGGCTTTAAAGTATGGATGTTTTTGTATCACCAGTTTGTCTTACGTTTGACTTGTTATAGTGCTGCTACTATTTAACAGAGAAATCAATGGATTATTATATACTAATTGACAAAAAAAGGTAAACCTATGTTTAACCGATTTTAATAATTTGTGTCCTTACTAGTAAAATGATTAAATTTTCAGCTTGATTCGCCAACTCGCTGCAGAAGCTGGTTCAATAAATAATGTGTTAAGGATCCACGATTTCTTATACACTCACTGACATGCCTGGGCATCGTCCTGATAATATGGTCGATATCCTGTTGGGATATCTCATTCTAGGCTACTGTAACTTCGTGAGTAAGAGCTGCTAAAGCTTGTGCAGGGAGTTGCAAATTCAAGAGCCTGGGACCTATCATGTCACAGACATGTTCAACTGGAGATAGTTGAGGCGATCGTGGTGGCCAAGGTAAACGGTTGATGCGATGTTGATCCATGAAGGCTAATGATGCTCTGGAAACATGCTGTATGCCATTGTCTTGCTGAAAAATCGTGTTTTGGATGGTGTTTAGGTATGGAATAGGATGAGGCTCCACTATTTCCTGAATATAGCGTTAGGCTGCCATATTGCCTCTGATGAAAATTAGTGGTGAGCTGCTACCATAAGCAATTGCACCCCATACCATAACTCCCACGGTGTGGTGAACGTCACGCTGTCTGTTAAATTGTGAGTCACGTCTTTCATCATGTCGCCTTCCCACTCTTGCCCGAGCATCGTGCATCCCCAGACAGAAGCAGGATTCGTCACTAAAGACCACCTGATTCCATTCCTAGTCCCATAGTATTATTTCTCTACAAGAGCAAACGGTTTCGCCGATGTTCCACTGCGAGAGGTAGCACCCAATGTGGGCGATAAGAAATATGGCCAAAGTGACGTATTCGGTGATATACCGTACGCATACCAACCATCCTTCCATGCTCTACAAACCACTGATTAGCAATGGCTCGAGTACTACTGAATCTGACTCTCAGAGTCTTAACCGGTGGTCTTGTAGCTCTGTGGTCCCTCTGGGACGTCCACAACCCCTCGCTCGCTGTCCTCGGCCTTCACAAAAAGGATTCTCAATAAGCTACATTCAATTCAACATTTAACTGATACCGTAAATGTACGAAAACTGAATGCTTCTTTATCACCAAATAATACACCACAAAACCTTAACCGAAAAACCTAATAATTTTATCATTTGTTGTTCATGGCAAGATAAATCGATATGTAAAAAATTATTGAATTCTAATAAACACACGTAGGTGCTTAGTTTTTTTTGTCACTCAGTATAAATAGCCTCCAGTAGTGCCATCTTTGAATAGACATTACACCGCATCACAGTCAAATCATAACTCAAGTGTAAGGACGTTTAGGCAACACGCACAGCTACCACAAGTGAATATATGAAGTTAACGACAGCTAGTTTCAAGGTGACATTTTTTCGGAAAAACCTACGATATCATGTCACTTTGATCCTGATGACATTCGCAGGGCGACGAATCTTGTTCATGAAGTAAGAAATGCTCTTCATGAATTCCGCAATGAGCACAGTTCGCAAGCACAAAAGGCTGCGGCTTGCACTGTAATCAAAATTAACTCGTGAACTTAGAACAACCAAAATTGGAGCATTTTGACAGAATCTATAGAAAAAATCGAATATTTTTAGACAATATCAAAATCTGTGAAATGATTTTAACAATGCCTAAAAGATTCTCTTCTTCCCCTTTGCTCTCGTTCTTACTTCTCTCCGCTCCTCCCCTTTTTTCCTTAAAATTGTCTGGTTTCTCGGTTACCAGACCTGACTGACTTACAAACTGAGCTAAGGTCCCACGGACCGCTCTGACAACCAACAATGACTTGATATCATGTCACTTTTCAAGTTACGTAATATGGGTGCAGGGGTGTGCTAATTTTACTTGTTCGTAACTATCGATGGTGTTCTTAATAATACGCT